AAATTTTAACTTGAGTTTTAATTAAATAAAATGACTTGCTTTAAGGTTAGGATTCCAATTTATTTTGGAAATCAGGACTAATATGCACATTTCCCATATATGTATTATATTTAACATTTTTCAAAAGTTTGGAGGGTGGTTCCCTCTTGTTATTCTACACTAATACTCTCTTTTGTCCTATATTGGCTTTGTCTATAAATAGCCACTTTTATTTTGTAACACACACAATCTATCCATCAACATGAAAAAATACCCTAGTCATACCCTTATCCTACTTAAAAAGCCACTTTTATTTTATAACACACACAATCCATCCATTAACAAGAGAACATGACATAATTATCCCCTTGTCCTACATTGACTTCATCCCTTTATAGTTACCTTTATTTTATAACACATACAATCCATGCATCAATTGAAAAATAATGTCACAATTGATATAAAAGTGATGTCTCTACCTACACACCAAGCAAAATATGACAAGTTGAAAAGTCACCATTCCAAACCTTATATATATAGAATAGTGGATATTAATCTCAATTTTATAGAGTTCTAATTTAAAAAATATATATATAACCAATGTAAAAATTTATCATGATAATTTCATAAATTGTATGAAAAGAATTATATATAATCAATGCCCTACATTGGTGCAACCCACTTATCTTACACTAGTTTTGTTCATGAATCACCACTTTTATTTTAGAACACACAATCCATCCATTAACATGAAAAAATGTCACAATCGCTCCTTTGTCCTACCCTAGATTCGTCCTTGAATATCCATCTTTATTTTATAACACACACAATCCATCCATCAAGAGAAAAAATGACATAATTGCCCCCCAATCTTACCTTGGCTTCATCCTTTAATAGCTATGTTTAGTTTATAATACATATAATCCATCCATTAACAAGAAAAAATGACACAATCACCCCTTTGTCCTACATTGGTTTCTTCCTTTGCCTTTATTTTATAACACATACAATTCATTCATCAATAGCAAAAAAATGTCATAATTGATATTAGTATGACCTTGTTCTTATTTAGATAAAATTATCATGACTTTATAAGAATTAGTTACAAAGAGAGAAATGATCCTTTTACTCGAATCTTAAATATTTTCTTTATATTTGAATAGTCCCAATAATTCAAATTTTGATATATATATATACACGAGAGTAGTGCGTATTAGTTTTGATTTTTGAAAAAAAATTAGAATCTCAATGTAATATCCCGAATTTTCTGATATTTTAGCATTTAGTTAGGGACTTAATTGTAATAAAATAATATTTGAGTTTAATGACAAAAACTTATAAACTTGAGTGACTTAAAAGAGAAAATTTTGGATAAGGACCAGCTGATTTTTTTTTCTCCTTTTCCTCTTTCTTCCTCAGCCCGCGTGTCCTGCTCTTCTTCTTCCCCGACCCCCCTGCAACCCAAAAAGGAAGCCAAGCCACCGACGCCTCCCCTGGCAAAAAAAAAAAAAAACAGGTAAAGCTT